GATTTAAATTGATACGAAGTCAGTTTGAATTTCATTTGCAAAATGGAATGCCCCAAAAAGGGGCGAACGGAACGGTATGGACATGAGAGCAGCAGTGCCCAGTTATAAGTTATAATGGCCTGACCACAATTTACCCACTCGACAATGGCCAAAAGACATGCTCAAGTGCGAGCACTTGGGGCCAGGCAGTTGAAAGGAAAATTTTGTCATCTCAATGGAGATTGAAAACTCACTTTGTGCAAGGGTCTACTGCCTCTCTTTCCACTCCATTTGTATATATGTGTGTGTGTGTGTGTTTTGTGTGTGTGTGTGTGTATGTGTGTTTGTTGGATACTTGAGATTACCAAATTACAGTTGCACAACATTCAAGGCATACACTTAGGGCGCACTTAGGGCCCACAAGTCGCTTTCGGGTTATCAATAACCATCTATGGCGATGGCGATGGCGATGGCTTAGGAAGGGGAAACTTTTTCATGGCCTGCACTTTGGCTTCCATTCAGACTTCGCAGCGCCTAAAAGGCGGCTGCACTTTTTGTCTATTACCCGCCTCGAGTGCATCAAACTGTCATTTTGCTTGTAGTATTCCGCCAATGGTCGATCGGTGTGCTGCTGCTGTGCTCCAATAAACTTTTGCCGAGTCAACAAAGCAAAAAAAAAACGCTGGCGTAGGTAACACATGATTGGAGATTGCCTTTACCAAAGTTCTTGGAGGAAACTTTAACAAAAAGATATCGTGGGGGGGGGGCTTTTGCTTGCATTTCAATTTGTCAGCCAACTTTCTCTCGCTCTCTCTCTCTCCCTGTCTCTGCCAAACTGTCCACAATAATCCAAAATTGACTAACCAAATAGAAATCCCACAAACAAAAGCAGGACAAAACAGAGAAAAATAAGAGAGTGTGAGAGAGAGAGGGGGGAGGGGCACTGCAAATGCAATGAAGCGTTCGCTTATCCCATGTTATTCAATTGAACATTTGCGAAAAATTAAACACACAGAGTCTGCAGAGTCCCGAGTCTCGATGCCACAAAACAAATGCAAAATCCACTCGGAATCCCCAGCTCGTAGCTGGCACTCCAACTCCAACTTTGACCCACACCAACCGACAGCTGTAGAATTAACAACAATTGCAATTGCAGGACAGGATATGTAGGATGTAGGATGTTACTGCGGAATCCCTCCCCCTCCCCCACCCAACCCCCACAAAACACAGTCCATTGCACACACATCGACAATGACAAGTACATGGGGCATAATAAAGTCTTGGAATTTATTTTTATGTGCATATAATAGAGGGCTGCACCCTCGCTGGCAGGTCGGCAGGGCAGCAGGGCAGTCGGGCTCCCTCCCCCAAAACGCCCAATCATGCAGGCCAGCGGACCCCCAGGAGACGCATTTCATCTGACAATGCGCAACATTTTACGAGGCCAGGAAAAACAGCCCTACAGCAACCAGGACCTGTGACCAGGCAATGACTTCACCTCGTGTCCAATCCAATCCAATCCTAACCGTTGCTCGGTCCAAGAACCGGAGACCGTAACGAATTTTCGAATTTTGCCAATATTTGCGTAGTCATTGGGAGATTATCCTAATTGAGAATCTCGGCGTTAAGCTTGGAGGGGTTGCCGTTGCCCACTGCAAAAGGGCTGCCACTGGGGTTGATGGGCCCCCATGTCAGGGGCTGTCCATAAGACACAGTACCAAAATAGATAGATAGATAGATGTCTTTGTCTCGGGATGGATCTGGATAGATGAAGCGGAAGCATGAAATTGTCGCAATCAAAAGTGGAGTACACTGCCAGAAATCGTGGCTAGAAAGATGAACTTTGGGCTCAACAAACTATCTTCAATTTGCTCTGTGTTCTCCCACTTTTCAGGCAGACCAAATGAAGCACAAACAAAGCCCAATCTTGACCACTTTCTCCCTCCCCCCCCAGGCTTCAGTCAAGTCTTAGTCTGCTGTCACAATTCATTACGAGCTCTCCAATTCGAGGCGAAACGAAAACATAAATAAACTTTTTGTTTTAGATTTCGTGACAAATGTACAGAAATGGCATTTTCCATCAACAGCCGAACCCAAACCCATTGCTGCCCTGCTGCGTGCGGAATTATCACTGGAAAGAAAATATTTACACAGGCGAAAGGTCCCGGAGACCTTCTCGGAGCTCGGGCGGACAAGTGTACGACCCACACCCACACAGGAAGCCGACTGTCGAAGCCAAAAAGGATTACTTATCGCATATTTTGACATAAGTTAAGTTCATCAGTGAAATACGAGAGTCAATTGTTCCATTCGGAGGGAGTTGGGGCTGCTTAAACCAATGTCCAGACTGCCAAACAGACAGACTGCCAGACTGCCAGACAGACAGACAGAGGTCCGACATCGTCTGTCTACTCGTTCGTGTGATGGGTCAATTGTGATAAGCCGAATGTTCGAATGTCCATTCGGCCATTCGGCCACCCCTGGATGGCGGTGACTGCCTGCTTTGTTCTAGGCCCTGCCCTGCCACTTTTGGGCCTGCGTTTATTTGCATTTGGCTTTGTTTCTGTTTGCAGTGAAATCGAGGCAGGACGAGCCAAGCCGGACGAGCAGGACGACTGTAAAATTGGCAAATATCTATCGAACAATTGACAGTTTAGGGCGGAAAGCCCCAGCAAAAAAAAAGCCCCTCGCCATTGATGGACAGCCAGCCACATTCTGGACATATGCGAAGGGCCGAACCGAATCCGAGCCAATGTGAGTGTGAGCGAGGAATAATGCCAAGATTTGGCAAAATACTCGTAAAAAAAAAAAAGGGATTTAATTCCCAGCTTATTTGTAGTCTTTATTTTTAGGTCTTCGCAACGAATCAAAAGGGTTTTCCCTCCCTCAATAATTCTTTTGTTAGCGTCCGATTGCATAATTTGGCATTTCAATGAATGGCAGAGATTTGTATGTATGTAGAATAAAAATGCGTATTGCGAATAATTAGAGGAGCTTGCGAGCAAAACAATCAACACGTTTCCTTCCAAAATATTTTGCTCATTGAAAAAAAAAAAGAAGAAAACTACAATATTTTTTAAGCGCTTAAATGCAACACAAATTCTTGTATTTTCTATTGCAAAACTAGTCTAATCAATGTATTGAAGTGCAATTAATTATGGAAACTATTTGAATGCAACGCTTTAAGCCAAAATCGACATCTGCCAGCGGGCATGAGTTTAGTTAGCTGCCAGCATCTTGCGGCCAACTACTCCGATTTCATTGGAGGGGCAACACTATGTAGCCATGGGCCATACACAAGTCGAGTCAAAACAAAACAGAACCCAACACACAAAGGAGGACTCGCTCGACCTCGAGTCCTGCTGGAAATCCAGACCCCAAACTACAACATCGACTACCACTCTGTCTACTCATCCACAGCCGCGCCTGGTTGTAAAGATATAAAATCAGACAACTGCAACAACAGAACTACAAGGGGCCCCTAAAGGAAGCAGTGCAGAAGCAGGACAGGATAGCACGACAGCAGGACAGGACAGGCGGTTGTTATGTCCTCGTTCTCGTCCTCGTCCTGTGTGTGTGTGTGTGTGTGTGTTGTCAGCTGCAGCGGCGATTTGTAGCGCCACAAGGATAATCACACTTTTAATCGTGATTTAAGTTTATGGCGCTGGGTGCTCGTTTAGTTTCCTGTTACTTGCTACAACAACGATGCATCTCCTTGCAGCGTCTGTGGGGTTTTTTTTCTTTCAATTCCTTTCTCATGGCTTCATCAGCCTCAGCCTCAACGTCTGCAGGAGGCTGGCAGAGCACGACCAGGAGCCTGACTGCTTGTTAAGTTTCCCGCTTTCATTTTTATATTTTTAATGATTTTTATTGCATAACTGGCGGCGGCGTCTGCTAGACCTACGCCCAATAAGGACAGGCACGGCCAGGGCCGGGCCGGCACGGCACGACCCCGGCCAGGCAATTGCACTTTGCCACATTTTATGGCCAGACCCCAAGAAGGAAGCCAACAATGGAGCTAAGAAAAGCCAGAGTCGTGATTTGTTGTTACTGCTCGTTGGGCCAAGCAAATGACAACGGGCAGAGGAGATACAGACAGACAGACAGACAGGAGAAGCGCTTCAGAAAGAGCTTTAAGGATAGATGTTTAGTGAAAGTAGACGAAGATCAGATCAGAAAGTAGTTCAGCCTGTAATCCCTGAGCGGGAAAAGTACTGGGCACCGTCCTTAGATGATTCACAGATCAATATCTGCATTGGTTTTGCTTCCTGTTCAGCAGAATACAGCTTTGTGACGACTCAATCGTTTCGATTGAGATATCTCTTTGGAATTCCTATTCCGATTCATCCTCAATCCCCCCGCGTTGCTAGCTGCACCCGCATAAATCTAAAGTCCACACACACCTCTTGCCCAGCGATCCTCTGTGTAATTTGTTGCAAAGCAAACTCTCATTTAGCAGCAACTTTTGAGCCTTCCTCTCCCCTGCTGTACCTTTAACTGGTCCGTTTACTTTTACAAATTATAAGCACTCACATAAATTTCACTTACTGCCGACGCTGCCGCAGTGGGTGCCAAGCCAAGTTTTGGCTCCCAGTCTGAGCCACAAAGACGCTGAGACTCTGAGACTCTGAGCTATGGTCACCTTTTTGTGAGACGTAATTAGAAGGGAAACAAGGAGAAGGAGAAGGAGCAGGAGCAGGAAGGAGCCAACTACTGGTTCTACCCAACTGAAGATGATGAGAGAGCAGAGCAGAGCCCTGGAACAGGCAAGGCAACGCAGGAAATGGAAGGAATTGGCCACTTGAAATGCAAATTGCGTGCAAATTATGGCAAGCTGGCAAGCCAGCCGGGCAGGTGGGCAAGTTTTTCTTGTTCCTGTTGTTTTCCTGATTCATTGCGGAAGAGGAAATATTACTTAGGACCCGGAAAGTTGTGTTTTTAATTGCTAGAGTTTTAATTCAATTTCCTGGCTATGCATTTTATGCATCTTCCTGCACCGGCAACTGTGCAGAGTCCACTCCACTGCTTATGGTTGAATATTGACCAGTTTTAGCCCAACTTTCATCCCATTCCATATATTGTACCGCACTTACCGTTATTATGAGTTAAAAAAGCATTTTCTGCTTCTGAAGACGATGATCCTTGATGCTCATTATTGGCATTCGACGAAGAGGACGAGTTGGAGAAGTCGTAGGGATGGCTTAGACTATTACTGCCCCCGGCAGTAGATGCAGCCAGAGCCTTGAACAGGTGAGCAGAACGCTGCTGCTGGGTCTGCTGTTGCTGCTGCAGGGTCTGCTGTTGCTGCTGCAGGGTCTGTTGCTGCTGCTGTTGGGGTGGTATATAGGGATTGTTGTATATGTTGCGAGTGTCATTCGATGGTTGCAGGCTATATTGTTGCTGCTGCTGCTGTTGCTGCTGTTGCTGAAGCGTGTTATTGGCACTCAGACCATTCACCGTAAAATGCCGTGATTTGGCTGAAAAGAAGAGCAGAGAGAAATACGTTTAAAACTGAAGCTTACATTTCGAAGGACAAAAAAATTTGTTAAAAAAAGCAAAAGAAAATTGTTTTTTTTTTCTTGTCATGACAGTTGCTACCCGCTGCTCCCCATCCCATCCCAGCCATCGACCACTTCTCCTTACGCCTAATTGCATGCATTGAAATATGCAAATGAGTCCAGGGGCATGTGTGTGTGTGTGTGCTTGTGTGTCTTCGTTTGCTTCAATTTAAAGCATTTTCGCTGCTGTGTTTGGGGTTTTCACATTTCCTCCGCTCATCGTAGCCGCCTATTGTTGCTTTTCTCATATGAATTATGCATGTCAATGACAAGTACGAAAGGTATGCTGCCGAAGCTCTTAATACCCTTGCAGTTCCACTGACTTTGGCATAAATATAGAATTTAGTCATCCGATTTCTATTAATTTTGTTTGATGTATGGAGAAACTCAAACAGGCACGGAAATATTAATATCTGGAGGCGGAAATGCTTGTCTTCTCTGTTAAAGTCGTAATACCCTCTTCAAGGCAAGGGTATATTCCCTCTCTCTCTTTCTCTCTCCTTCAGTTTTGCGGAAATAATGTTGACGCGGAAGCTGTGATAATGAAGCAGGCAAAAAGCAAAATGTCACCTCTCCCTCTCTCTCTCTCGCTTTCCTCCGGCGACACTTCGCTGCTGCCCTGCCCGAAAAAATTATGCTAACCCTTTCAATTTTCCACAAGCAGCCCGCTCGGAAAAGTTGCTCCTTACCGACAACGAGTTTGTTGTTGTTTTTGTTGTTGTTGTTGTTGATGCTGGCGCTGCTACCGCTTTTTGCATATTAATTATGCATGTTTTCGGTTGGTGTGAAGGCATCAACACATTGTTTGAATTTTAAGCAACACAAGCGACAAAATTAGGGGTAAACTGACTGCCTGCCAGAGAGGGGGTAGGGGGAGACACCCCTTTGGGTCTTTCACACTCTGATTTGTTCGGTAGTGGGCCCCAACTGTGTAAATATTAAGTGCGAAAGATAACGAGCCAATAACTCACTTAATTTTTGGCTCTTTTGTGTGTCTGCCTGAACGTGGGAATGTGCGATGGAAACATAAGTAAGTAGCAGAGCACGTAAATTACACCTCAACACACATTTCCCATGCGATCTTCGATCCCTGAAAACAACACAAAAAACAGTCGTGACGTTTCTACGTTTGGATATTTTCGAATTTTACGGAGCAAGCTCCGAGGATGAGTCCCCCAACTGTGATGTGTCCACATCAGGTTCCGCGAGAAAATACAGGAACTCTGACAGATTTTTGTTTGCCTGTTTGACAAACATCTTTCCAGCAATAGATAATAATAAAATATCGAATATAGTTGTGACAGAAATCTCCTTCAGTTTAGCTTGGAATATTTAGTATTTTCTCCAGATATTTTTCTTGAGTGGAAAACTACTAAACGAGCAAAAAACGGAGCAGTTCGGCCAGTTCGGCTCCAAACAGCAGCACACAAATATTCTGGGGCCTTTACGAGTCTTCCTTCTCCTCCACTTTAATTTGTAAAAATATGTTTAGCTTATCATTGCAAAAGGAGCTTTTTTAACCAGCCATTACCTCTGCTCAATTTACCTATTTATATGCCAATATCTTCCGCTTTAAAGGTCAGTTCCATTCAGTCCCAGACCAAGACTTCAATGTCAATTTCCTGGCGATAAAATTGTGGGGGCACAACACGCGTCGCGGTTTAAAAAGCAATGTCAATAAATTTTCACTAGAACGAATTTATTGGTAAATCCCCACCACCACCCGCTTTATGACACAGATCCGCCGCCATAGGCAATATTGGCAGGCCCGGACAGGAACACAGACGCAACCCGTTGATTTCGGGCTCCAAATCTGCGACGCGTCTAAATGTCAATAAAAAACACATTCCGCTACCCAACGATTTTCAGGAGATTTTCAGGAGTATGGGGAGAGAAATCCGCTTCGTTTAGCGACGAAATAATGACACAAAATCGCATAATTCGACCGAGCTGGAAAAGGGTTTCCTCCAAACCGATGTTGAGGCTGTGTTGAGTTGTAAGGGAAACGAAAACTCTGCCAAAGTGAAAGTCAAGGAAGCAACATTGAAATTGCCTGGTTTAGTAGACGCTTGGGGCCCAGCCAGCCAACTCTCAATGGAGGGGATGCAAAAATATTAGCAACAACAAAGGAATAAAGCATTCTATACACACACACACACACACATCTATAGAAGAAAACTAGCAACAACAGAAAGAAAGATAAATATATAAAAATTGTGTGGCAATAAAATTTGCGTAAATAGTCCAATTTGCATTGAATGTTGCCCTTATTTATGGCACTGGGACTGGGACTGGGACTGTACCCCGGGAGGCATTGCGCAATCAGGCAACCCTAGAAAATGGGGGGGAACAATTGGGTGGGGACTTATAGGGGGGATGTGTATTGTTAGTTGTGTGCCTTTTGTTGTTGCTGTTCCGCTTTTGTTGGCCAAGTGTAAATTTGACAAAAAAAAAAAATTTTGTTAAAAGAAAAATACATAAAAAATGGGCAACGGCTGGAAATGGAAATGAAAATGGTAATGGGACTGGGAATGGATCTGGTGACACTTGAAATGGTCTGCTATTTTGTTGCTTTGGCTTTCCCGAATTATCAACGGTACATCAACATGAATTATAAGCGAGGAATCGTCCCAGGACACCAGAGTGGAGAAAACTTAAAGTTCAACTTGTGATGGCTTAATGGGGGATGGGATGGGGTGGGATGGGATGATGGACTGCCACTAGGGGGGAGGATTATGTAATTCACGTAATTAATTCAGCAACCAATCAATCCGCAATCGGAGGAGCAGCGCACCTTTTGTTTCGATTTACGAAAAACTTTGGCCAGACGAAAGCACTCGAAACTTTTCACTCACAATGGCCGCAATCAGGTCTGCGGAACAATTAACAATCGATGCAGCCAATTAACAATTAAAGGCAAGCCAAGCCCCCAAAATGGAGGGCAGGCAACAAAAGTTGGTTCGTTGGAAAAACTTTGTACAGCGATTGAAAACTTTCCATTCGATTCAGCCCCGAGCTAAAAAAAATTTGATAAATAAATGCTAACTCCCCCATAAATATTTGAATTACTCCAAATATACATATTCTTCCAAGGACACAGACCCACACCCATCGATCCCCGCATCAACTATTTATGGACAGCCAGCAGGCGATGGAACCAATTGGTTTTCACACGCACGATTCAAACGAGACAACCAACAAATTTGGTGATGTGTCTAGGGGGGGGTTACAGGCTACAGACTAAAATTAAAAATAATTAGACTGGACAATTTTATTTTGATTTGCATTAAACATTCAAATTGCTGCAATTAGGGGGGAAAATTAAGTGCTGAGAGGAGCTGCATAAGAGGTGTGGTTTGGGGGTTCTTTAAGCTCTTTCCCATTCCACTCCTCACACCCTGTCAGAGATGGACTAAACGCATTAGCATCGCGCAAGGATTGCGCCTGAGCCCTGGGACACTTGAACAGATGTCGCGGCATTTGAAATTCACAAAACTAAAAGCAAATGGGGGAAATGCGAAATGCCGCCGACTCATTCTTAGCCGGAAAGGAAAAGACAAAGCCGCTGGAGAAGAACGGGGGGGAAAACACCTTGTTGTCCCTGGCTGAAGGATGAAGATGAAGCCAGCAAAGCTGTCAATGACAGTTGGCTGTTGTCACCCTCGCAGCCCAGCAGTATCTCTGCACGGATTGGAAAATTCGCACAGCTCAGCGTTGAAGAAGGGCCCGAAGTTATCTGCCTGAATAATTCCAGGGAAGGCTTAGAGGTGGACTGGGCCAAGGACCAGAAGCGGGGAGCCAAGTCTCGTCCGTCCTCTAATGCATGTTTGGCATTTACATAATTCCCATTGGCCATGGTAAAGCAAAGGGCAGTGAAGGGCCGGGAAGGGGGGTTGGAAGCACTTGACTCGCACCAGCCCGAAAAACCCAAACCAAAGCAAATATCAATTACAATCACGCAATCGGAACAACACGGGCATGGATCAGGGACAACAACAAGCAAATTAATTGAAATCAATGCAAATGCCCAGAGCAGGATGCCCACAAAAGGAAAGGATCTATGGACCTCAAGGGTTGCTAACTGATGCTGCTGCTGCTTCTACTTCTACTTCCATTTCGGGTTTTTCAATTTCTATAGGCAATCGCATTTGTCAGTGGCTTAAGTCGCGCTGTGCTGTACTCTCTCTCTCTACCCTCTCTACCCACTCCCTGAAGGCCGTCCATTCTACTCCATTGTTGTCCAACATGTCAAAGCAATTGCAAACATTCGGCGCTGCCTTTCATTTATCAGATGAATCCCGAGAGCGAGCTGAATCGGTTTTAATTTTTTCACTCGTTCACTCGCTTGATCTATGGATTCGATTTCGCGGTTTGCTGAGCACCGGCAGCGGAAAGATAACGCTCCGATAAGTAGAGTAGAGTCCCGCTCGGCACTCATCCTCAGCCTCATTCTCATCCACCGCTTTCCCAGTGCGATAAGTACACCATTTGTGCAATTTGTCAATGTGTTTCTGGCGGCTTCTGTGGCCATTCAACGGCTGAGCTCTGCGGTGCATACAATTGTCTGCCACTGGCTCGGGTCCTTGAACATATGCCACAATTGAAATGAAAGTAAATGCAAATAAGGGAAAGCTTTCACATGCACATGCAAAGCGATCTGGCAGAGCTTTTTCAAAGTACACCAAAACTCTATTATTTTTTCTTTAATTTTTCGGCTGAATTTATTTCCAAAGTCCGCCTGAGGCTGCCGCACCACTAAAAATGCGTTTCCTTTACATGTTTCCATTTTTTCCAAATATTTTGCGTAATATTCAAATGCTAATGACTACATTTGCCCCTGCCCCTGCCCCCTGCACGACGCACACAGCCAGCCAGCGAGAGGGGAGACGAGACCATTGACATATTCAACTCATTAAACC